CAGTATATTTGTTTTATTCCACGATGTCAGACGAGTCATTAAAGCAAGAATTAATCGAAATGCAAAAAAAGATCAACAAACTTCAGGCTTCTAACTTGGCCAGGCAACAGCCAATGCAATTCGAACAGGTTATCATCGAAAAAGATCCACCTACAGGGGGGTAGGGACTGAAGCCGACTAAGCTACCAGAGTTCGATGGTATTAAGGGCAACTATTCATCGTGGAGAACGGCAGTCCTAGATATTTTTAGAATGGACTGGAACGCTTTCGGTTACAACAATTCGAGGGCATTTTTAATGATTTACACTACGCTTAAAGGCTCGGCTTTAAAGAAAGCTGGCTCATTCTATGAGGTAGGAGGAGTGCACGGAACTAGAGTGCTGGAGGACTTCATTGAGTTCTTAGATAAGCTATACCTCGATCCCTTGAAGGCTGTAAGGGCAGGCAGGGAACTACAGGCCATGAAGATGTCTGAGAGCCAGCGTTGGCCAGACTTTTTTGCAGCTTGGACGAACAAATTGACAGAGGCACAAGGAGATCTTTGGGACGATACTAACAAGATATCAATGCTCTGGAACGCCCTAAACAAGGATTTGATACTGTCAGAGGAAAGCTAAGAATGATATAGTTGGGTCTGCATCATGAGCTATATTTAATCTAAAGAAAGAAAGTTCTATGTACACGAAATTATCATACAAACTGTGTGCCGAGGCCGGAAGATTATCAGCCGAGCCTAACCAGATCAAGATGAGTATGATTAGGCGAGCGCATGCTTAGTACAGTTCACAACTGTTACAGATACTGGCTCTTGCGGGAAATACTAACTTGCCCCATAATATTATGATTGGTGTATGATTTGGGAATGTACACTTGCGCTGGAACAGCTAAGATAGTATGTGGAGAGATATCTTTATTGATGTGTAGAAGTGAAGTTACTATGATAATTATTATGTTATAGATTGGGGGAAGCTCGTCCCTTATCCCCTAGCTTGTTCCCTTGTAGACCGATCACGTTACCAGTATACAGCTCACCAAAGTGTGCAACCAACTGAGCAGCCATGCCATTTATCCTATATCAACAACCCATCTCTCATACTGCACACATTACTACTTGTCATGTTGTTATGTAGAGACTGGATCTCCTCCATGTGCCATGATGCCATGCTGCCATAATAGCTGCCTATGCACCAGCTACTAGATCTACCATACTACATAGCTGAGCATAACACATAACAATTTCAATGTCTGGATTAGACTGGTAAATTAGGTAGCGCAACAGCTGGAAATGGCAGACAACTGGGTGGGACAGAATCAACCTGTCCTAATACTCCAAAGGAACAGCTATTCTGCTACAGGACCGGTAAATTATGCGAACAATGTCAATAAAAATCCTCGGGAAAGTATAAGTCCGACTGACTCGTCTGGCGATGTAATTATGGGTGGAATAAATGCGACTGGTATAACAAGCACGGATAGACAGCGTGCCAAGTAGAAAACCCATGCACAGCTAGATCAATTAAGAGCAGAGAGGAAATGTTTTTGCTGCGAAAGGATGGGTTGCTCTTCAAGAAAATGCCCACTTCTGCCCGCACGAAATCCGAATAAAGCGAATATACATATCAATCTCGCGAGTTTACCAGAGATCGATCCATCAGTGATTGATTCAGAAGAACAAAAAGGACCGGTAAGGGGATATTTGAGCGGGTCGGAAAACTAGAAGCTCCTGTACACAGTCGCGCACAGGAGCCCAAAACAAGTTATAATAAAGAACTTAGGTTAAATACAGATCCATTTCTGATTAATGCATTGTTAAATGATACTTTTATGGTGCAAGCCTTAGTAGATAATGGATGTCTGTGTTCTGGAATTATCAGTGATGAACTAACTGAACGATTGAACTTGCCGCGCATAACAATACCCCCACGAGCTCTTGAGACAGCAGAAAATTCTTCGAGGACTAAATCTGTTGTTAACTACATAACCCACCTGTTGCTCGACCTCGATGGCTTTCATATACCTAAACTTTGGCTGTATGTCGTTCCTTCAAGCACACACAAGATGATTCTAGGAAAAAAGTGGCTTGAAGACCAAGACGCAATAATTCATTCAAAGGACCAACGTCTTGAGCTCAGAAAAGGGAACATGAATATATATAGTGTTCAGATATGGAGACATAATTTGAGACAAGTGCCCCATCCAAAATAGTCATCAACTAAAGATTTGATGTCAATGAGCGACTCAGTGCCGATCGGCAAAATTACGATAGAGGATATAAGTAAAGCACTCTATGAAAACCCTATTCTCTCGGAAAATGACGCCAAAGACTGTCTACCGGAAAAAGTGAAGGACTTCGTCCAACTTTTTGCTGATAGCACCGAAGCAAATAACTTGCCTCCATTGAGAGGTAACTTAGATCACGCAATCAACCTTCGTTGTGAGAATGGAAAGCCTTTGCCACCCCCGTGGGGGCCTCTATACAGCATGTCCCGAGAGGAGCTTTTAGTGTTGCGGAAAACCCTTACAGACCTTTTAGAGAAAGGATGGATAAGACTGAGCAGTTCCTCAGCAGCATCCCTGGTATTATATGCGAGAAAACCTAATGGCGGCCTTCGCTTTTGTGTGGATTACCGTGGTTTAAACGCAGTAACAATACCGGACCGCTACCCCCTCCCACTTTTTAAGGAGACATTACGGTAGCTTTCTAAATCCAGATGGTTCACGAAACTGGACGTCTAATCGGCTTTCCATCGCCTCCGAATAAGGAAAGGAGGCGAGTGAATGACAGTTTTTAGGTGTTGCCTAGGACTATTTGAATGGCTGGTGACTCCATTCGGATTGATAAATGCGCCAGCCTCATTCCAGCGGTACATTAATGAAAAGTAACGGAATCATTTGGACGTGGATGTTACGGTATACATGGACGATATTTTGGTGTATACCAATGGAGGTGAGGATAATCACTGGGAGATAGTTCGGAGTGTTCTCTCGAAGCTAGAGGATGCGGGGTGTCACGGATCAAGGAAGAGGCGCTGGTTCAACTATGTGGTCGATAGTATGTAAATTATCATTCTGGAGAGAGAACTACTTCAGACTCTATCTATATATATATATCTACATTGTCTGTGTGTTTGAGGCACAGTCCCTCCGTCTCGGATCCAATGGGATTCTTCACAAGTGTTGGCCTTACTTGTTGTAACACCACAATGTGTTGTAGCTGTATGGTCCAATACTGCTGCCCTGCCCAACTAGATGCCGATGCCTTGATATTCTGTTGAGTGGCATCATATATCCGCGCATTGATGTCGATCAATCGTGCGCTACCAATATTAAGCCAGGCTCATGTTGACCAACATGCACTACAGGGACCAATCGGCTTACCAGCCGTTACAACCCCCCTCCTTACTTTTCACTACTTGACACTCTGTCTCTGTCGGCGAAATTCAAGAGTTTTCTTTTCAGGAGGACCGACGTAGGCTCCAGACTCTGTATCACTGGGCCCATCATTCGTGTCTATTGGACCGTAAAGTTCTTCAAATCTCTCTAGTGCCATTGTATCCTTAATATACTCAACAGACTCCCAAGAAGGATCAGCCCAGCCAGTCCACTTGACTAATGCTTGACGGTAGCTACCTCGTCCGCGTCGTATTGTTCGAGCCCACAGGATTGCTTCGACTTTGTACTCCTGCTCCCCTAAGTTGTTGTCAGGAACTGAGGATAGAGAAGCACCCTCAAATTCTTTCCCTACACTACATCTGAATATTCTCTCATCTTAGAGCGTTTATCGGGTTACAATGGTTGCTATGGGTTACAAATGAAGTAATAGAATAGCAGCAGGCGCACCCCTTGAAGCCTTTGTTGCTCTGGTTACCATGATGTATATATGGGTTGGGTAGAGCCGATGTAGAGGGCCACGTCTTGTTTTCCGTCTTCCATTGACCTTGTCTCTTGTCCCTTGTCCTCAGTTATAGCTAGAATCCCGAATTAATACCTTAGTCTATGACAAATCTAGTCAGATATCACTCGCACTTCTAAGTTATCCATCAAACACAACCCCTGGTACCCTCGAGATTGACAGTTGCACTGCTACTAGATCTATAATGCCAGAAATGGCAGCAGATTTATCAAACAGATTCTCCATTCACGCTCTCACTACCACTAAAAATATTGCGCCTAGCTCCTCTGAAGCTGATCCCTTTGCCTATACAACATCTCCTCTTCGTTACACCTCCGAAACATTTATGGGTATCATGATTGACACAGGGGCTTCTAAGAGATCGACCGCGGGTTATGGCCAATATAATGCACTTCAAAAGCTTAATAATAATGTTTTAATTTTAAACAAACTTGATAAAGGACTAGTGAATGTTCAGCTTGGAATCGGGTCTACATCATCAATTGGATTGATAAAATTAGATTCAACAATTGGAAGAATTGAATTTCATGTTGTCAGGGCTGATACTCTTTTTCTACTGTGTCTTGCTGTCACGGATTCTAGGACAGGTGCTGGAGCAACTATGTGGTTGATGGTAGTAGATGATAATTCTAAGGAGAGAACTACTACAAGATCTATCTACACATGTATATATACAAAAGAGCCTCATGTTCTACGACGTCATTGCACTATCAATCGAGGAGGTTGTGTCCGATCTCGTATATTCCCAGCCGATCGCTTCTCACCGAAAAGTGGTGCCATGTTGAGCTGCACTGTTGAATTGGATGCTATGCAGATTCCGATGCTCCGATATTTGATCGATCGATCGTGCGCAGCTTAAATCGGACCAAGCCTATGTTAGCCAACATAGGCTACAGGAACCAGCCGTCACATCCTTGGAATAAACATTTGAGTTGGCTACCTCGAATGTTTGACTCGCAATGATTTGATGAAACTAATATAATCATTTTGTTTTCATCGACCTTCTGCCAATGCCCCTAACATTGAAGGTAAGTGAAGACCATCTTCCTGGCATTGCTTAAATTTAACCTTCTAACCAATGATCCTATTACAGTTCATGATATCCTCTTCTGCAGTTTATTATCTGATTTTGTGGTATTTCTGCTCCTCTCATATGATCAAAGTTACTTATGCGTACTACCCTGTCGAAATTGCAATTACGGTCAAATGCTGCATAGTTGTTTGACATTTCACCTTGAGGCTTCTTAGTTTCCAGTGATTGCGAGAACAAAAAGATAAAACACTCAATTACTTACCTTGATGATATGTCCCTTCAGCTCCGGATTTCGGAAGGCGTACGAAGAAGTTCATGGGCTGTTGTCCCCCACCTTTCTTGAAAAACGGGAGATTCGGCAAATGATTTAACATGTATTCATGCGTTCCCCATGAACAATTCTGATCTCGGATCCTTATCAAGTCATCACCGGTCCATCTATCATAAGCACATGTTGCACCTTCTTCGATTGCCCAAGCACTGGCAACGACAAATAAAGAACTCAAAACGGAAGCAAGTGTGACAAACTCCTTTGCTGACAGCATGTGGATTAGCTGGGACTAGCTTTCATGGATAAACGTGGCGGAAACTAGGATGGTGTCTCATGGGGAGCTCCATTCTAAAACACAACTCGGGGTTAGATCAAGTTCTCAAACAATTAAGACGGGCTCAGGAACATAGGGTCGTTTCATAGGGATTGCGTAGTAATACTGTTCGAGACAGAGCTTAGGACTGTCCTATTATCTGATGTACATATATACCCAGCGTGAAGGAGTATTCTTCTTCACGCAACGTCTTCTGTTTATACACATACCTATTGTTCACGTACTTATCTCTAAAGAAGACCGCCGTTATTGTACCCTTCTCACCTACTACTTATTTTACCTTTACTTCTTCCGTGAACCCTATACCTAACGCTGAATTTATACCTCCTACTCTTAGGAATCACCACCATACTCCACACCTGTAACCTACTTGTACCAAACTCGTACCCTAAGAAATACTGATAACACGGCTCCTTGAGACTAGCAGACAAGAACTTGTGACGGATAGTGATTTGTAAGACGGGAAATTTAGAATCAATTGTTGATGGAAGGTAGCTCTCTTGTCATTTCTACAGATTAATGTGATGGAATTGAGTTTGTGTCCCGCGCGCTGTATAGCACCAATTAAATATTAACTCGCTCTCTCAGACCGGCAAAGTACTCGGAACTTTTACATATTTTATTACTTAGTATGATCAAATATGCAGAAAAGTCCGCCTTATGATAATGCTTGGTTTATTCAATCCTATTAATGACGCTTATCAAATGGGTCAGGCATGATAGGCCGATATAGTAGTCATGAGTTATAAATATGATTGTATGATAATTAGCAAATCTCAAAAGTACTGTAAAAGAATTAATCACAATAACCGATCCCAATTACTGTGGGAAGACGAGAGTTACAGTCGTAGCACACTAGCGCTTTCCTAAAATTATATTTATTTTTCTGTGGGAAGGATTCTTTATTTGAATCGAATTTTAATTGTGTATGGAACAGTCTAGCTTTGGCAAATCATCAGAGATAAATAATATGATGAATTACTCAATTTCAGTTCTGAGTACAAATGCCTCGGGTTTCATTTAAAAGTACTACTCTTGTGCAATCGCGGCATTTTCTTCAGCCCAAGCCAGCCCTTACCTGTCGCAGTTTGACTGTTGTTTGGGCTTCGGAGGAAACCGAAGCGTCTGATTTGGAATAATTGCGATAAGAGGGAAACGGAGTGATGGACAAAGATAGATGAAATGGCAGCGCTAGCTAGGAAGGCGAAGGATGATCAATGCGTAAAGACTCCTGATAATACTTGGCTCAGCAGCAAATATTAGGCCGACGGGAAATTTATCAGTCAGCTGTTTCACGAAGTATGCCCAATGTTATGAGTACCTATTTTTATTTTTTTTGCATCTAGTACCTATTAGTAATAGCTAGAGATCTCTTGTCTCTTCATGTAGTTTAATAAATCGGCCAATTCAACACTAACTTAGTTTCCGTCACACTATCGGTGAATAGCTAATCAGGGAAATGTCTCCAAACCCTGAGTTATCCAGGAATGCCTCCGCCATCTATTAACTTTTCTGCGCTCCAAGTGTGGTCTGAGGTGTGTCCTTACCAAGTGGAGTAGGTGCCCAGGCTACTCAAACTATACCGGAGAACACCACCAGGAGGCGAACCACGGCACCTCTCATCGCTGGCTTGTCTTAACGGTACCAGCTGCACTCTCGCAAGCGAATTCTTGAAACGCACAAAACTCAATAAACAAAACTCCTTGCAAAAATTCAAACTTTCACGCCTTTGGAGGTTATATCATTTTTTTGCATCATCTTGTAAACTTGTCCTGAACCCTCTCATGTCCATCCCAAAGACCTGTCTCCCAGATTTGTGCACCACGCTTTGCTTCCTCCGTCGGGTATAAATATTGGCGTGAGCGTGTATTTGGCTACCAGTTGAGGCCAGAGAAAGTCGATAGGAGGTGTGGTCCTTGGAATGAGGATGTACTTGGTCTTACATGTAGACTTGTTGGAAATTCTGACTCTCGAATTTAGGACTCAACCATTACCTGTTTCGTCTCAGGTTCCCGACAAGATCGACTCTCTCTACAAATGTCCCGAGTACGCTAATCGCGCCTACTATCGCCTATACGTTTGGATATTTACGTAGTACAGTGTACCTTGGCTCATCATGGTAGATGAGAGGTGGCTGGTCATCACTAGGATTGACAGGCACACGAGACTAGTGGGAATTTCTCCCCTAAGATGTATATATGAGTCCAATGTTCCCATAGTTATAAAATATTAAGTCTTCTTCATCATACTTATCCATATAATATCGTATAGAGTATATTTCCCAACAAGACTTGATGAAGCTTAGGTATAAGTCGGACTCTTTGGAAGTGAAAAATTGACGTGGTGGAGTAATTTGAATCGTCACCTCGTGGGCCAACTTCTTTGATATTGCGAAATTTGACTGAACTTGGCTCTGGGAGAATATTTCACTCCCAGCTTCGTAGAGGACACCGCGTACAGGTGTTCAGTCTTGCCCTCCTCTCTGTTGGTCAGGCTAGCATGTCGAAGTAGTCGATCTAATATATACCCATTCAACACTTCCGACCCCTTGACACTTACAGCATAACATTGTATTAGCCAATTCACTGTTGCAAATAAGTAATAACATCAGCCGCCCCCGCACCACTCTGTAGTATAGCTTCCGCATTGCTCATAACTACACCAAGAATAGATAGATATTTTACAGGTATTAACCTAGCCGGCCTATGACCCATGACCGTAAATTAGATATCATCCGCCACTCGTCCCACACTCTAACAATGAATTGCACGACAGTATTTGTCAAACACATGATAGTTTGGAATCTACCGAATATGCTAATGAGAATTATTGGATAGTGGGATGACACATCTTGTCACATTAACTTGCTCGAGCTTTGAAATCTCACGAGGGATGTGGTGATCAGGATGTTTAGGACAGTCAAAGCTCCAACTTGAGATCTTTTGATCTTCAACACATCTAACATATTTCATGTGTAATTTTGGGAATCGAGAAGAAGATGTCCCTCCCCTAAATAGATTTAGATGGGTATATAGCATCACTGCTGGAGAAGAGTTGAGCATCAGAGATTTCATCAATACAACTTTACATTTTTCATTTGACCCTCAGTGTCTAACAGTATCCAACATGAGTATGGGGTCAAGGTCAGTGGATAGAATTCCATCTCACAGGTATATCATGCACTAGTCTAGTCGCTCATATCAAACATGCTCAAACAAGATTTCAATCATCTTGGTCGTAAGTTAGGGGCGAGAATCTTAGTTACAATCATAGGGAAGCTTCAGACACACAGATTCTGGATTCCAACAATGGCCAAACACGCTATAAATATTGCGATATGTCTGGACAATGAAGAAGCCGTACTACGATTACACACTGCCTACCCAAACCCATCCAGCTCGGTCAAGATTGCCGAATTTCAGGCACTGAGAGAAAATTGGAATAGTGGAGGCCTGCAGCAGAATACCTACACCGAAAAATGCTTCGGTATACAGAGCCAAAGGCCTAATAAAGGAGCGGCACAGGACTAGCATCACGCGGTCCTGAAAGGGCCACGCTCCGAGTAGATGTAAGAGTCTGAAGATACCTGTAAGAGGGCGAATGCCTGAGGAATTACCGACTTTATCTCGGAAAATCTCGCATTACTCCTTGCGGGCCGCTCTGCTCACGGAGACTATGCCACGTATCACAAACGCTCCTCGCACCAAGACGCCAAGCTATTATGCATGTGTGGAGAGGAGAAGGCTCCAGAACATCTCTTTGTATGCAGGAAACCCGACCAAAGTAAAACTCCTGGGCCACGTCCATCTCGTGCCAAGGAGGGGGCAATTATATGGATCCTTGGCACAACGGCAGAGGCGAAAGAATTCGGAGAAGGGTGCAACACAGTTCATCCATACAGATAACAAGAAGGTGTCACATGGTAGAGGCAAGATTAGGCGTGACATTGATAGGATGGCCTTGAAAGAACTGCATAAATTTGTATTTTAATCATACTAATTCAAAAAAATGAGTTATGACAAATGCTAATGCATTTGGTCGACATGATCAATTGGATCAGAATAAAGGCTGAACTGCATTTCAGGTAATTACAAATCATACATTGTTGCTACACAGAGAAAACTACACAGCAGGAGGACTATTCTCAACACCTGTCAGTGGCGTCCCCTATGAACCTCCAGCTCTCACTGTAGAGTCTGCAGAGCCAAGATTGAGTAACAAAGTCCTCACTTCGATGAGGATTCCCAATCGCTTTCGCGGTCTGTATCGTCTTCATCTCTCAACACATTCTCCTATCACCATTATCATGAAGCTAACCACGATCAGATCAGATGGTAGGGTCGGAGCCCTACTCATCACCAACCCGTGATCATGGAGGAAAAGCCATCCGATGAGTTTCCGGAGCGTGCCCAGCACCCGATACTGAGATGGTGGATTGGATCAAGTCGGCCTCGACAGTTACAAAGAAGGGAGATATAGATGAATATGCGCATCACATATGGTCCCGGTGTCTAGGCCTCGCCTTGCTGCGTTTGCAGGTTTTTTGAGACTTTTTCCCGCGCACGCAGTTTCCATCGCTATCATTTATTTGATAGAAGGTTCTGTGGGTAAACACTGAGCTGAATGGCTCCTCAGCTCGGGCAATATATCAATGATCTTACAAGTAAAAATGGTAGGGGGGGTAAGCAAGGAGTAAGGCATTCAGGAACTGACACGAAGAGAGTGGGCTAGGGCTCTGCCTCGAAATCAACAAAGAGCATTAATTGAAGAAAAAATGAGGATATTATAGTCTTTAGACAATGGAATTGCCACATAGCAATAGGCGTTGCGGACCAGCCAAACGCCCATTCTTTGGTATAGAGGCCCAGTCATACCCGTGAGCATACTTAGCGTTAAATATAAACACACAACAACAACACTTGCCGCGTTCGGACCAAACAGTTTTTTTTTTCTAAATTTGATTCAAGTTTTCTGATTTTAGTTTTGCTGTTAACACCATAATTTATGTGGAAGTTCACGCAGTGGGAATGAGTTGGGCCTGTATACATTGATCCTTATCGGCTCCACTAGTCCTGAACCGATAGTGGGACGTAGAGCTTTTACTTTAGCTCCGGACTTTAACAATTCAACAACATATGTCGCGTCAGTCTTCTTAAGCCTATTTAAAAATCCAATTCATTCAGCTATTTCAGCTCTACGTGATGTAATGTCATGTATTTGGCGCAGCAGTACTTGCGTTCCTTATCTATATTTTGGATATTTTTAGTACTAAATACTTCGAAAAGGTAGATGATCCTTGACTAGAATTGCTGTCCTTCAGTGCACATTTCAGTATTGCTTTCATATACAGCTGTTTGACCTGCATATAAATCCTTCAATTTTACTACGCTGTAGAAGTTACAATCCGCGTCCACGCTAATGTAATAGTAGCTATCAATGTCTAGTAATTATTTAGCCTTGTCTGACTGTGGGAATGAAGATGTAATGCAAAGGATAACTTACCCTCCTCAAGAGAGGCATGTTGAGGAAGCGGAAGGAAGTATATGAACGTCCTCTTATCGGAATAGAAGAGTCCCCTGTAATGATGGCTGGTATTTTTTAAACTGGCTGGACTTGGTGGCCTGTCGCAATATCTCAATCGGACTTCTTTTAATTCGTCCCCAGTCCATATGATTCCCGAACAGACTGCGCCTTTTTCAATGTCCCATTTTTGGAAAGAAGCAGCAGCAGCGGGTTTTGAAACAGAAGCAAGCAGGACAAAGTAATGTAGCAACCACATTTTTTCTAACCAGGGATTCTGTCGAGTTTGGATGTTGATGACTTGCGAGATAAAGGTGAAATAAAGCGGACACGAGGGTTAATAGATTATCTCTCCTAATTATCCTTAAATATTAATTGTGTGGAGAAACGAGTGATTTCCAGGAGGCTCTATGGCATAAATTGTAGGAAACTCAGTGCACTTTATCGGCGGACAAGTCCAAGATTTCTGCACATTCAATTACCTAATTAACCAACTTTGGAGGAAATAACTATTGCGAGAGGGCCTTTCCCGAGATCCTTCTCCGATTTCGCTTGTAAAGCGAAGGCTTCCTCCATTCACGCCATTTCTCCGCGGGATTTAGATAGATATGAGACCAAGCTTCTACTGAAAAATCCACTCTGATTACGGAGAGCCCAACTGCGGTAGTCGCCGCTGTTTCCACTTGACCTGAAGTCAAGGCTGTGTTGTGTTATTCAAATCTAAGTGTCTATTCAAGAACACAAAAAAAGAGCCAAAGATACTGCAAGTTGTATTTGTGAGATAGATTATATCATCAGATCTTAGTCACAAATGTGATATAGATGTGGACCTACCGTTCAATTCTGTACAAAAGGGCAACATTAATCACCATCACCATAGAGCCGGAAAAAAGAAAGTATCACCTAATGGCCATGGCTATTTAATCAATCCCAAAATATTTTGAGCTACATGATTTTTTTTAAATTTGAAAGGGAATGTCTGTCTACACCAACCCTCGATCTATGCAATCCAATTAGGGATATTGTGTTCTCCCATTTTCCACGTTTATGCGACCTAGCGTCTACCCCATCCTTCCTGTAGGATTTTTATCTTGCGGAACATTTCTACCCAGAAGTTTGAGAGTGTGGCCTTATATGGTTTTCTGACTAGTGAAATTAGTAGAGGGGATTACGAGTCTTGGTCGAGTTATTTTGGCTTGCTATAGATAAGGAGTGCATGGCCTCCTTGTCGACCCATCAAAAAATGTATGATAAGATAGAGTACGAGTTCATCTTGTTTGTTGGTATATTTCTAGCAATATTGAGTAATCGGCACCCGTAGAGACATACTCAGCACCTATCAGCAGTCTCTTCTATCAGGCTCCAGCCCTGGCAGCAAAGTTAAGATTTAGTCAAAGACTAGACGGGAGGACTTCCATCGCCATTGAGTCTGCCACACGCCCCAGCAACCAGGACTGGACGAAAGAGTTGGAGTGAGCTACTATATCAAATAGTCTCCGTCAAGACTTTTCTAAGCTTTCAGCACAATCTTCGATTTTTCCCGGGGCAAGAGTGACGGAAATGGTTGCAACGGCCGAGAATAACTTGGCTGGCTGTTCAGAAGTTTGTAGCGCCCAGCTTTACGGCCTCTTGTAACATCTCATGTAGATGGTCGTGTTTTGAGCTGGCTAGGTTGAGTTGCTATTTTAGGAAAGGGTGCAAAATACAGGCTGGTGCACAGACGCTGTTCATTTACTCCAAAGTCTCTTCGCCTATGGAGTTCAGTGAATTAAACTATCAAAACAATATCATACTTCATATCATCCTTTAGATCAGATAGTTTAAGTACAATTATCCTCTAATTTACCACCCGCAAATATTTAACCTATACACACGTATTGGAACTATTATGAGTAGCCTAGCATACCACGTGATCTTAGGTGTATAACCTTAGCTAACTAGCGCACTAAAAATTAATTCCCAGCTCCACAGGGCACAGAATTCTAATCCCAGCGTATCTTGGGCTCTTGCTTCGGCAGAGGGAGTTGATGCATTCAATAACTGGGTGCGTGTCACAGATTTTTTTGAAAGGGCACAACAAACAGTCTGATTCGAACGAAATCACGATCTGGTGTAAACAATCTTCTCCTTTTATCTTTTATTTTGTTTTGTAAAATATTTTCTTGATTTAGTACCAACAGCATAGCATGAGATTCGTTGGACGGACGAACTTCATGTACACTATGATCTTCGAGCGTGGGATAATAAGATCCTGGCTATTGTTTGCTTTGTTGGGTCTGTGTGGGCACCAACACATCGGGTAGTTTAATTTAGACTGGGCTAACTGGTACGCGAGGAACTCACGTACCGTGCGCGGGCACCATGTTAAATATTAAAAATAAATAAATATTAATTCTGGGCCACTGAAGGTCTTGCAGCAGCCCTTCGGAACCCATTGGCCTATTATGCCTCTAACGTCACTGTCTGCCTTGACAACCAGGAGACTGCCATCCGTCTGCTCATGGATACGTCCACAGCGTCTAGCTCGGCAAAAATATTAATCCTTCGCAAGCTCGCAATGAACTGGAAAAGAAGATCACGCAGTCAAAATACGACGCCTGGGAAAGTGGCTATCTTATGGTGCCCAGGCCACACAGGTATTCTCGGGAACGAAGCAGCCGACGCGCTTGCCAAAGCCGCCTTTGCAGCTCCAGCTCCACACTTAGAACTCTCCATCGCGAGGGTAAGGAGAGAAGTCGAAGCCCAATGCGAGGCTTCAGTCGCACTCTATTGAGCAGAGAATTCTCCATCTAGATATAAAGAATTAGGAATTGGTCCTAATACTAAGATTACTGCCGAGCTCGCCTGTCTAGGGCGACGCACACTAGGATATACATTAGCTGCACGGTCTGGACATGGCGATTTCGCAGACTACCACCGACGGTTTCAGCACGAAAACGCCATTCTAACCAGCTCATGCGGAGAAGAGAAGTTTGTGAAACGTTAAGTCATGTTCAGGCATTCAAGTTGGTGTCTCGTCTAATTCGGTTGTTTTACAATCACGGGCTTGTTGTTTTTGCGGTTGTTTTGAAATTGGTATCTCCGCATAACGAAACAGAGTTAACGTTTAAACGTTGCTCTGGATGTTTCGGATTGAACTCAGGTAGAAGTTAGATCAAATATGATTACTAGATATATAGAAGAGGTTCTGACCTTTAAGAAAAAGGATATACAGATTTTGATTTTACCAAATGCAAACTTCATTTTTCCTAAAAAGTCTAATAGTTATGAGCCCGGATAGCTTTACCTTATCCAATTGATCAAATATTTGAGAAAAATCTCTAACAATGACCAATTACACGTTATTTTCAATCTATGTTTATTAGTTCGATCTTAAGCATAAGATTATTCTTTATTGTGGAACAACTTTATTTTATTTTAAAATTTAATCCTAAAAATCTTATAACTTTCAATCATGGAGTTTGCAAACTCTCCAAACACATCGGCTCTCGTTCTCGAAAGCAGCTCAGATTGGAAAAGATGGTATGAGTAGTTCAAATATGAAGCTAATCTACTAGGTATCTGGAGCTACCTTGATCCAGACACTTCATCAAATTTGGAACCCCCGAGCCGGACAAAACCATCAGGAGATATTGACGATGGAATATGGCGGGTTGACTGCCGTATCCTTGCAGCCAAGCACTCACAGCAGAAAAGAGATTTAATCTGAATGGCAGCTTTCCTATGAGAGCAATCTTACAAGGATATAGGGACTCGCTTGAGAAGAATATCTCAACCTGCAAGCAACTAGACGATCTACGAGAAATGTGCAAATTCACCATATTTCAGCAAGAAGCCAAGTTGGAGTCTCAGATCGAAAAGCTTGGACAGGTACCCCAAGGACAGAGTCATGATCAGTGGGCTCAAGCTTGGATTGATGTACTAATCTTTTCGAAGGAAATTTCCAATTCTGTTTGGATAGAGGAAAGATTATATAGGGAATTTGTCAAAACATGTTTCACAGTACTCCCTGCATTTGGTGAAAAATTTAAGGCCAAGATTATCGAAGAAGACGCATCAAAACTTAAGCTTAACGAAGCTGTGCGTCAATATTCAGCTTGGGCTAGCTTCAGTATACCTCAAACTAAAACGTCGTTCAAGGGCGCATTTGCAACTCTTGACGGAAAGAAACATGATGCCAAAGACAAAAATTCGCCGAGTATCAAAAATAGTAGATCAACAAATTCTAAGGGCAGTAAAAACGATCGGAAAGCTCCCATTTACCCTTGTGGCAAAAGACATTATTTCAACAAATGCAAGCATATCAATGTTTCACAACGTAAGCCCGGATATGTTGAAGATCACAAAACTAACGCCAGAATTCGTGAATGGTTTGACAACAACCCGGAAAAGTACAATAAGATTGTCTCATCTTTTGAAAAGACTAAGGGTGCTGCTGTGTTGGTAGATTTCCTGCACGAAAAAGAGAGCTACGCAACTATTACTGCACCAAGAGTTTTTTCTAGTCATTGTTCTCAAGACCACTCGGTCATTCTAGATACAGCGACCACAAATCATGTGTTTCACCAATTTACACAATTCATCAAATATAAGGAGCTCAAAAACCTTATCGAAGTCCGCGCTGGTGATTCCAACTGTTTTATCATTGGTACTGGCTCAATTAAACTTACTGTTGATTCTGATAAGGGACAAAGATATTTACAAATTGATAACACCCAGCATATTCCTGGTTTTCATATTAATATTATTGCATATAAAGCCTTCAAACATGGAGGTAGTTATTTGGATGGAAAGACGAACTGGATCCGTAAGGTTAAGGATGACAGATGTGTAGCAATTTGCGAAACATCTCCCTGTGGCTTATTTTTGGTGCTTGAAAACAACAAGTCTGATCTACTTTTCAATACCTCTTTTGCCACTAATAGTTCCGAACAAAAAGTTAATACTGCATTGGAAGTAAGATGGTATCTCAGACTTGGACATATATCACATGAAAACATTGCCCATCTATCACAAAATGTGGACGGAGTCAAAGTGACAGATATGAAGAAAAGAGACTATACCAATGAAGAAAATAAACTCTGCGAGGTTTGTATTACTGCCATCATCCATACGAAAATTTCCCGGCAATTACAGTATAAAGGCGAAACTCCGTTCCCATATACTCACATTGATCTCATACATGAAGAGCCAGGATTATCCAACGAGCGCTATATTTTTCACTTTTACTGTCAGTTGACAAAATTTAAGATAGCCTAC